TAGTATAAGTTGCATGTCATTGAATTTTAAATAGACCTTTAAATAATAATAAATGAATTTAGCACATTTTATAATAGATAAAAGTTTTATCAAGGTCTCGGCAACAAGAATATGTTTAATTTTCCATACAATATGAACACAAACAAACATTTATCAATTCAAACCCTAATGAACCCCCAAATCAAGCCAAACAACACTTGAAAACTAAATATCAGTAGACATTTAGTGAGAAATATCAGGTATTAAATTAGTGTTAAGTTAATGATAAAAATGACAATTAATTCATTGCACATCATATGCGAGGAATAGTCTCTTGAATATGACTTAATTTGGGAAAAAACTATTGAAAAATAAAAATATTAGAAATTGATTTTTTAATTTAAAATCCATTAAAAGTTACATAAAATACAAGGATTTAAATGTATGGCAAATATTTAAAATGATAAGAAAATTGTATGCATTTTGATAAACGACTACATGTTTTGCATTTAAAATATGCAAATATTTATGCATTTAATACAGCGTTGAATAACACACACAAACAGATGCGGCACATCTACTGTCAGATTTGGCCAGTTTTATACTCAGCCTCTTCGCCATATGGATCAGCCGTCGACAGCCCACCAAACATATGTCCTTTGGCTACCATAGGGCTGAGGTGTTGGGCGCCGTCACCAGTATTTTGATGATATGGATACTGACCGGTGTTCTCGTCTATCTGGCCATCGAGAGGGTCCGCACAAACGACTTCGAGATCGACTCCAGTGCTATGCTTATAGTGTCCGGAGTGGGAGTTGTCATGAATATAGTTATGGCAATTACTTTGTCGGACGTGTTTTGTTGCCGTAAACGAGCACAACATGCGGACGATCGCAGCCAACACAGTGGCCTCAGTCACGGCCACTCACACGCAAGCCATGGCCACTCACACGTCAATATGAATGTTAGGTATAATCACAATTATGTACTCATATAGTGTATCATTCAAAAACTAATTCAAATTTTTATGAATGTAAACATTTTGCCTGTGATTTGCAGAGCGGCACTAATCCATGTGATCGGAGATCTGATCCAAAGTGTTGGCGTATTAATAGCGGCGCTTATAATCCATTTGAGGCCCGATTACAAGATGGCTGATCCCATTTGTACCTTCATTTTTAGCGTATTAGTGATGTTCACCACTTATGGCATTATGAGGGACGCCGTGTATGTCCTGATGGAGGGCTTCCCCCGGCATATGGACTACACGGCCGTTAAGAAGGACCTGATGGACATCGACGGCGTCCACAGTGTCCACAGTTTGCACATCTGGTCGCTGACAATGAGTCGACAGACACTGTCAGTGCATTTAGCGATTGGCGCCGACGTCGAGACCGAACACGTGCTTAAGAAGGCCGAGAGTCTGATCCGCAAGAAGTACGACATCCAAGAGACCACTATTCAAGTGGAGAGGTTTGAGGCGCGGACTATGACCAGTTGCCCGACCTGTAGAGGGCCTCCCGATTGCTAATAAACTCGTTATTTTGTGATGCATTTTATTATATAAATTGTTGGTTTTGTTCATCGATTTTCATTCACTTCTAGTGATTTTATTAAGTGATAATTTAATTGTATTTCAATATTTATTTTTTTAGTTTCTAATGTTTAATATAATTTTATAATTGGATTGTAATATGTGTTGTAAATTTCATTTAATATAAGTTTAATAAATTAATTTTGATTTAAATAATTCATTTAATTGAATGACTAGTCACTAGTGTATGGAAATAATTTCATTCAAATCATCGATAATCAGTGACTATTAATTTTCTCTCTCTCTCTCTCTCTCTCT